GAGAGAGAGAAGGAGGTGAGGTTTGAAGAATGAAATGGAAATTAAATGAGTGATGCAATGAAAAGTACATCCGGTTAATGTCCAAAAACACTCCATTCAATATCATTTTCTACAGGCAAATGAACATAACAAAAAGTACACAAAGCATACATATCCTTATCTTAAAAACTCGTTGAAAAAAAAAAAAGAAAAAAAGAAAGTTCGATGAGTTAATAAATAAACAGGTAAATTTAGAAAATTGTTATCTTAATTGATTGATATGGGATGAATTGGATAGGATAGGATAAAATTGATAAGTATATTTCATTTAATATCATTAATTAAAATTGAACTGATGATATTTAGTGATAAGTGAATTGAAATTACTGAAGTTTGTGATAAAATTAACATTAAGATGTTAATTTTTTTTTTTTTTACACAAATATTTTTGCTTTATTTATCAGTTATGAAAATGGTGTAATTTGATTGAAAATGTACTATTGTCTAGAATTGAAATGTTTTTGTTCTTTTTCCGCCTTTACAGAATAGTGCAACTTTACCATATAAACAAGGCTATGGATTACTGTATTAAATTTTTATGAGATTCTTTGGCCTTGGGCGGTGTACTTCGTGATGTTTACGAATACTCATGTAATTATTATTGCTTTGCTCGAAAAAAAAAAAAAAGGAAAAAAAAAGATGCTTTGGCACCACGCCAAGGCAAAGTTTATTTTTTTTCGTTTCATTTTTATTTATTTATCTATTTATTTTTGTTTGTTTTAAGGGAAAGCATGAAATTATGTGAATTAACGAATGCTACTAATGCTATATTAGAGGATGAGAACTAATGGTTTCATATTTCATTTAAAAAAAGGAAAACAAAAAAAAAAGAAAATGTATTTGAAAATGACTGCAACTGATCTCAATGTAACGGTAATCATTTGATTTTGAAAATTTTAAAACTTTAAATGTGCAACATTTTTAGCTAAAAATTTATTATAAAATTGGAAAAAATGAAATTTCTGAGGAAAAGGTATACGCATGAATTTCAAAGTTTGATCGATTCTTCTAAGTTTGGTAAATGAAATTTAGAAATTATGCATTCATACGCCAACATAATAATGATGATCTCATCATATATTATTTATTCAGAAAGATGTTTTGATATGATTCCTGATGACAGTCCAAAAAAGTATTTTTTAAATAGCACCGGAAATCGTACCGGAATTGAAATGAGCTTCAATTAAGTATCATAAAAGTAACTAATCAAGTTAAGATGAATGAATGGTAGTAAAGAAACGAAAAGGAGTTGTTAATGAAATTAATGTAAAAAAAAGGTAATGAATGTCATCCAGCCTTATGTATCGATTTCAAATCATCCAAGAATTTATAAATTACATTTATTTATGATTAATTTCAAATTAAAAATAAACAAAGGAAAAAAAAGAATGTATGACCGGATATTGAACTCTTGTAAGATGAGAGATTCAAGAAAAAAAAAAAAAATGGAAATTTTTTATTTTGCGAATATAACTAATCAGAGAGGAAGTAAACAAACGACAGATAACCCTACGAATATTTCACGGTAAACCGCAATTTCTTTCACTTCCCTTTTTTTTTTTGTTTTTTGCCCCATCTGTCCGTTCAACCAATCTAACATCACTGCTAAACAATTCATCCGTCGCATACTTTTCATAATGTTATAAATTTTTGTCGAAATTTTTGTGATAAAAAATTTAAAATTTAATAAAGAATTTTTGAAAAAGTATAGCTAATACATTGTATTTCTATTTTAAACTGCAAATTTTTCTAGCTTCGTTTAAATCTGTCACATTTCGATGACTTTTTTTTCTGTAAATTTGGATTTCGTTTGCCGAAAAAGTATCGCACAGAATGGAATATGCTATAAAAAAGTCCGTCATATAAAGTTAAATTTTTGAAATTAAAATCATATTTAAACGCTTTATTTACAAGAAAAAAAACTAATTTGCTACTCTTTTTCGTTGAAATTTACTGAAAAACAAAACTGGGACAAAATGTGTTACTGACCTATATGCCCTATTGTCGCCAGTCATAAGTTCTTCTTTCGAGACTACTTAACTTTAAATAATGAAGATTTGGATGAAATAATAAGGAAATAGAAATTAAGAACGGATAATTTTTGATATTCACAAAATTTGCAAATATTTAGAAACCTACATAAATTTTATAAGAAAAGTTTTTTATTAGCCATTCTAATTTTCATTATTGGTTGCATCTTTTTGAAGTAATAATTCTACTATATTTTCATCCTTCTCAGATTTACTATTTGAAGAACAGATATGAAATTTGAAAAACAGTTAACCTGATCAATTTTACTGGTGAACGGAATTTTGTCCGATAACACTGTTCCAGAATTAGTTGTTGGCGTGGTTACGGCGGCGCTATGTAGAAGATTTGTTGATTGAGCCAATTTGAGCAGATCAGTCGATGTTACCGGTGCTGATCCAAGTAATAAACTACATTGCTGAAGGGCAAAATAGTCAATGTAATTGAATGGTAAATGATCAAATTTGTTACTAGTAATCGGAAGACTAGCAGTTGCAGCTAAGAGTGACAAGGAACGAAGATAGGAATCCATGGATGGTTCTACATAACTTTTCAAAATTGAACAATCCATCGAATCAGTGTTTTTTTGACAATTCTTGGATTCGCAATCATCGGTTAACAAATCGTAAAGTACAGGTGCTAGGGAACGGAGATATTTCTGCTTGAGATCAGCTCGAGATGGTACCGATGGTGAACAAACGGTGATACTATTGCTACAACACGCCGTTGTTGGTGATGTTGTTGTCGTTGTTGTTGTTATTGTTGTTGCTGCTGTCGCATATGGATGAAACCGCCGAGTATCGCTATTTTCTGAAGTACCGGATCGTCGCCGCTCCATGGCAACATTGTGATAATGATGATGATATTGTTGCTGCTGTTGCTGTTGCTGTTGATGATCAGGTACAATCATTGAACCCGTATAGCTTACCTGTGATTTCTGCCCATTGTTACATTGCGACAATAATGATGGTAGCTGGATTGTCGATGCTCCAGAATAAGCAATCCGTTGCTGTGCGACAATGCGCTCAATATCGCAAAGATTTCGACATAACAAGTTGACGATTTCTGCTTCAGATAAGCCATTCGCCACCGTTATAGGTAATGGGTCAGAATTGGATACAAGCCTGACAGCCTGATCATTCAATACACTTCCATAAACATCATTACTAGTCAGTAGTTTCGCATATGTAGTTACAGGTGGCATAGGATCCTCAATGATCATGGTACCCGTTGATCCTGTTGTTGCCATTTGGTAACAGCTTGAGAATGCACTCTCTGTAGCACTACTTGTAACTGTTGCACCAGAAGCGATCGTTGTCGGTAAAAGTTGATGATGCTCCGATAAGTTATCACACGTGTTCGGTGGAATGTTCGTACAGGTATTTATCGTTTTTCCACTATTATTATAAGATACTGGTGTAAGGGAATTGTGTATGAGTCGCTTCTTGATAGGTACCTTTATAGAAGGCAGTGATAAACGTTCAAGTGAAGCTGCTGGTGACGAAGGTTGTTCATCTAATCCAACCTTTGACGATGGTAGAGCTGATGGAGATGTTGTCCCTACTGCTACAGTGATCGCATCCATTAAATTGGATTCAACTTGAAGTTGCATTGTTGTTTTTGGAACGGTAATATCTTTTGATCCTTCACTATCAAGAATTGTATTCGTTGTCACCTCCATTTTTTGAATTACTTCTCCGGTATTTCTATCGAATTCCGAATCAATCTCAATCATGGTTGGTTCTATCATTCCCGCACTGCCAGCAATATCCGTTGTCGTTGTCATACCGTCATCTGGTGCGCCTGAATTGTCCTGCGCATCGATATTCACTGAATAAGATGACGTGAGCATTCCGGTTCGCTTTGCTGATGGCAACCTCACACCACAATCCCATTTCATTTTATCGGAGCTATTTGTTGTTGAGTGCGAATAAAGTACATTGGGCGGTGCTCCTCCATCATCACCGTCACTATCTTCTACTTCTACTTTTTCGACCCTTTCTAGCTGAATATTATCATTTTTTCTGCTACTGCTACTTCCAACGTTATTATTACAGATTAACTTTATACGTGGTTCACCCAAATTGACATCTTGATTACGTTCACTGCAATACTGAGTCTGTAATGTACAGTTACAATTGCGCATACTAGATCGATCAGTTATTTGAGGATTTGGACTGTTGACAACTGCATAGGTAAAGTCAGTATCACCACCTATGTTCGATTCACTAACTGAACCTTTGATTTGTATGTCTCGGTTTTGAATGATTTTGTCATGTGAGATAGTTGTTTCCAGACAGGTAGTCTGAAATGATGATTTGCTTAGTGTAGAAGGAGAAGAGGAGGAGGAAGCAGTAGTTACGATATCATTTGATGCATCAATATTTTGACAAATGCGCTGAAATTCCGGATCCGGAAGATTGCTAAAGGTTAATGGTGATTGATCATTTTGTTCCAGGTGATCCATTTGAAAGCTACCAATGCCAGCATGTTCGCCAATATCTAGACGGTTAGTTAACATCACTGACGAATAAAACCAATCGCTTGGTAGACGACTTTGATTATTTACTTGTTCTTGTTGTTCCGCCTGTTGTTGTTGTTGTTCATGTTGATGTTGTTGTTGATGTTTTTGTTGTTGTTGTTGCTTTTGTTGTTGTTGTTGATATTGTTGATGTTGTTCTGCCATTGAGAGGATCTCGAAATAAATCCTTTCAGATTAAAAGATGATTAAATTAATCTCAATTCATTGTACATATTTGACAAAAGATTTGCAAACATGATTTGAAAAATTTGATACAGTAATCGATTTTCAGTTTTTGCTGCTGCAATTTCCTTCTGCGACATACACACCTAAAATATCACTGCTTGTTAATTGAGATGGATGCAGCACATATAATATATATATATATATATATATATATATATATATATATATATATATATATATATATATATATATATATATATATATATA